ATCCAAATTCTTTACCAAATTTGAATTAAAAATCAAATACAGAAAATAAACACTATGATAAAAATAAGAAAAAATAAAAAGAGAATTAAAATGAGTAAGTGTGCCAACACCTTTTCGACACCGCCATCTTTGCCGATTTTTAATTATGTTTTGGCATAKACAAATGCCCTGAAAATTTACAGATATGTAGTTTACATAATCAGTAACTCATTAAAAAAAAATAAAAAAATAATAAATTTTTTTAGGCCCCGAAATAAAGTGAAAATAAAAAGTTAAAAGTGAAAAAAAACAAAATAGTAAGTGGGCGAGCACGTTTTGACACCCCCATCTTTGACGATTTTTAATGTTTTTTTGGCTTCGCAGAATCGCTTCAAAATTTATAGGCGTGTAGGTTACATGATAGAGAACTCACAAAAAAACATTCAGAAAACAAAACGTATTTTTAGGCCCCGAAATATTTTTTGGCGGAAGCCGAACCTGGAGGTGTTCGGCCCCCGAACGGGACCCCGAACGCCCGAACGTTCGGGGGCCAGCCCGGGGGCCCCCGAACGTTCGGTCAGGTAACCCTGCATACAGTCATGTATATATCTTCATAGATAGGTGCAGTGTTAGATTTCTCGATTTATGCGTGTCATCCTTGCGCAGGGGCCATGCTAATCTTCTCTGTATCGTTCCAATTCGCATCCCTTAGGCTGCGGTATAGTGGGCTTCGGCGTCTGTGTCAAGGTGTCGCATTTTTTGCGGCAGGCGACCAGGATGCAAGTGGGTTTTTTGGGGGCAAAAAAATTTTGGGGACCGGTCCTTGGCAAAATTGTGGACTACCTACAGCTAGCTCTGGTAGAACCGGGACTTTTGAAAAAACGAAGGACCGGTACTCGGATGGAAGTGGACCCCAAAAAGAAGTGGGGGCATTGGACCGGTCCTCGGGTAGAAGCGGACCCCAAAAAGAAGTGACGGCATGTGATCTGCAAAAGGGCCCTCAGGCCCAGGCGTTGAGCCCCGTCTTCTCAAAACAGGGAGGTCAGGCACAACGAAACAGGCGTTTTGCAAGAGGCAACTTTGGGGATTTTCTGTGCTCAGACGAACATGCACAAAAATTTGAAATTTTGAGAATCCATAGATGAGGGCGTGTTCTTTCCAGAAATAATAATAGAACATTTACAAAAAATCATTTAGACTGCGAAATAATCGTCGCGCCGATTCAGCACATTTTCCATTTTTGCCACTCAGCCATGCCTGGGCCAACTAAAAAAATACTCCAAATTCAGTGAGTTTTTGCGCTCAGAAGAATACGTGAAAAAACCTGAAAATTGGAGTACTCGTAAATTTTGTTGTGATCTTTCGAGGACAAAAGCTACATAAATTAAAAAAAATCATTCCAACTGCGAAATAGATTGCGGCCGTAATTTGACCCATATTTCAATTTTGTCATTCAACCTCTTTTTTTTTTTTTTTTTTTTTTTTTTTTTTTTTTTTTTTTTTTTTTTTTT